TCTACGTTTAACCATGTTTCAGATATTCTCATTATATCAAAATCCTCCAGTCCTTCCAGTGCTCTAAAGTCATCTGTTTTATTTATTACACTTCTAGCATTACAATAGTAACAATTAAGCCTATCCTTATAACTACTTCTATACTCATTTCCTATGTTACATTTTTCTCTGCCTCTTATTCTTTTTTTGCATTTAGTTTTCCTTGCCCTCACTACTGTCTAGTCCCAGTTTAAAACTTTCCTTACAACTGAGTTAATAGCCTTAGAAAACAAGCCAGCCCCTATCTTATTTAAATGTAAACCATCCCTTCCCAAAAAAAATAAAAAATAAAAGGACAACAACAATTCCAATAAAGAAATAACAACAAAGTTTCAATAATAAAAGGACAACAACAGTTTCCATACTTAAGGACAACAACAGTTTCAATAATAAAACGACAACAACAGTTTCCATAAAGAAAGGACAACAACGATTAAACGTTAATAATAAACTCCAGTTAAATGTTTGAGCAGCATTAGAAAGGTGAGTGTGCACAATTTATTTCCCCCGAAAGGGGCCGAAAGCCGCCTGGAGAGGTTACCTGTTTTAACCAATACGGTGGTGTGTTGTCTGTCAGTCAGTCAGTAGACACTAATATTCCCCTTGGTGGACACAGCAGACAGCTCAATGTGGATTTGCTATAAAAACACACACACACACACATATTGCATGTTTTTATAGTTTACATATTCTTATGGTTGTAACAAATTTGTTGTTATATGTTTATCTTAATGTCAACGCTTATTTGGATAGAGTTTATATTTAGAAACGTACATAGCTTATACTGTTAGATATGTATTGCGAAAATTCCGCCTATTCTCCAAAGTTGTAGAAGATTCTTGAGAGTAAGAATCAACAATATATGTATATACTTAAAAGTTTAAATGTAGCTTAGTATTGTTACATAAGACTGATTTTTCTAGAAAACCTTCCCATGGCTATAAATATAACAAACGCGACGCGCCAAGGGAAAGAGTCTATTAGTAAGTAGTTCGCTATAATCAGTGTGCTATAAACTTCGAAAGCTATAACTGTGATTTTTATAACGCTTATCAATCGGAAAACTTAAGATATTTGACCAGGAATATTTATAAATTTCGATCGTTACAAATCGTTTAACTTCAGATGATTCTCATCGGACGTTAGTATTTTTATGAAAACATATAAATTCAGCGTGGAGAGCTCAGCGTGTGTGGCCAGGGACAAAGCTAGCTAGCTCCCCGGCGAATTGTATCTACATCAACTCGTAATTAATTCGCTCAATAAGATAAGCCCTCGATAAGATATCAAGGAAGATCCAGACTAGAAAGAAAACTTTATATTGTTTGTAAGTTTGTAAAACTTTTGTTTATAAATCATTGTTTGTAGTAACTATTTGTAATAATTGTTACTGTAAATTGTATTGTGTGTATATTAAAACGTATTTGTGTTAAACACAAAGAAGGTGTGTAACAATCGTATTGGCAAATATCACAAACTGACTATATATCGGCATATATTTAAATACTAAACCCAAATTACTATCTAACTACTAAATTTAAAGTATCATTTAGCTCGGTTTCAGACCATTTAAAATTCTAATACCTAACATGGTTAACGTATTACATTTTCTTACGGTTAGCATTATTATATGTTATTCTGGTTGACATATTGCATATTTTTACGGTTGATATATTACATAAATTTAAACTCACTTTACATATAAAACGTTTGTTAGATCTCTTCAAATTTGCACTTACATTCGAACGATTAACATAAACGCTTATAGGTTTTGTGTTGATTGTTCATTTTCTTGATCACTAAACTTACATTCAATTATACAATGATGAGCATCAAGGTTCAGTTGTTTTTGTGTTCAGTAATATCCATTTTACCATTACCGCAACTGTGAGTCTGTTTGCAGTTCGCGTGTACAGTTTTAGACTTAAAGGTCTCTATGGAGTGAATCGAACAAAACTTTTATCATTACTAGCTGAAGGTACTCACTCGTCAGGGAAGCAAAAACTGTATAAAGAAAAATGTTAGATAATGTTTCCCTTACTTCGTTCTTTCGTTTTTAAATCCCTAATGACCTCATTACACGATAACTGCATACCCTGCTTTATGGAAGGTAATAATTGATTTGTTTAAATGATCACGTTCTTCAACGGTATTTGTATTTTTACATTAAAAGCCAAAAGTATATAAAATATTAGAAATTTGCCATATTTCAGGGTGTTTTTAACCCCTTTCACAGGCAAAAGTCCTAAAAGAAAATAGCCCATGTACACCGTTGGACAATTTTCAGTTACTTTAAAAAATTTTGGTAATCAAGTTAGCGAACTTTGGGTGCTGGAAGCCTAAAATGTATTTAAAAAAATGGAAATGTGCCCAATTTCACAGTATTTTTATTCCCCTTCTCGGGCAAAAATCCTAGAAAAAACAGTTCTTGTACACCATCATACAGTTTTAGTTACTACATAAAATATTACGAAAATCGATCCAACCAACTGTGGATGATAAGTTTGTTTGTCTGTTGTTGAGCGCAAACCTACAGAATAGGCTATTTGTGTTATGCCTTCCACTGGTATTGAAATTATTAATTTAGCATTATAAGCCTTCAGACATATCGCTGAACTACTGAAGATATGAGAGTGACAAGTCAAAAGTCCATAAAAAAGTGGAAATGTGCTCTATTTCAGGATCTTTTTATCCTCCTTCTAGAGTAAAAATCCTAACGGAAAACAGCCGATGTACACTGTAGGATAGTTTCCAGTTACCATACCAAATATTGCGGTAATCGAACCAACCAGTTTTGGGTGATGGATGCTAACACAAACACACCTACATATACACATATTATGGATCATATTTATAATGAGATAAGTCCAATATTCTATCAATTATTTTTAAGACATGCAAAACCCTACAATATTTTATGACAACGAAACTTATTGGTAACTTATCGAAAAACATTATGATTTATTTTGAAAACTTTCCTTTGTTTGTGTTTCACTATAAAAAAAACTATTTACGGTTTGAAACAATCCCAGTCGTTGACTTTTACGACTCTCACCTACCTAGAGAACGTTGGCTCTTATTTGGCTTAAAATCTGCTGTTGTCATCTAATATCTTCCAACTTCTTTTTCCAGAAATTCGAATAGGGTGTTTACGAAGAAGAATAAACTTATCAAAGCCAATTTGTCTTAGTTCTAATGGAACAAACTTGAATAAAAATGGCAATGTTTCAAGCTGAGTAAAAAAAAAAAGTAACCCATGATGGCGCCATCTACTGAATAATCTGAAAAGTATAAACACCTGTGTTAATTAAAGATACTAAGTAGTATCACATGAATATAATGTCTAAAGGAAACGAGAATAAAAATGAATATATTTTATTTTAAAATTAACGATGTTTTTAAGTACTGTACTGTCGTTAGATGAAAAACATTTGTTTCATTTTATGATGTGATATGGTAGTTGTAACCTTAAGGAAAAGCTATTGTCCATTTTTACTAATATTTAGGTCGTTTTACACATTTTGAAAGCATTCTTCAACATAAGCACCATCTTTAAGCAATAAATCCTTTTAACTTCTTGTTCATTGTGGTAAAGTTCATGACATATTGAAAAATAATTTTGCTTACCTACTGCGCTCCACATTTTACCAGCTAAAATATCAGTTTGTTAAATAACGTGTGAAGATAGTTTTTAATCTAATAATGCTTGTAAAACGTATTTTTTCTAACATTTGACGTGGACAAAATTCAACTTAGAGCAACCATCAGATGAGGTGCAGCATACTCAATAAAAGAGAGAAATCCAATTAGTGAATACGTAGTATCATCTGTAAAGCCAATTATACAATCGCACATGTTGATGGTTTTTGTTAAATTATCTTATGCCACGTGTTCACTTTGTCACCCAATGATGATTTGAAATCTGTACAAAGTTATCTAATTCACAATGACTTTATGCTCGTTAACATGTTTCTGAAGGACTACATAATATTTTTGGGTCAACAAGGAAAATGATACTCTATTACGTGCAAAAATCCAATCAACACTTATATCCTATCCTGAAAAGGGTATCGTAAGGATCAAGTATTTCCTATGGATAGGGTATATTGCCAATTCTAATTCACCCCTTTTCAGCATGGTACTACCAGTGTAGGATTGATGAAAAAGTTGTAGACTGTTCTACTCACACGACATCTGTCATGTGGTTTCACAGACATTTCCGCCATGAGGAAGACACCATCATCCAATCTTGCAGGCCTACTGATGTAGCAGTACGTAGGTGGAACTTAATAACAGATTCAAGATAAATGCAGTATTATTACAAGTTTACTGTACTTATATTCTGTAAAGTGTATAGAATAAATTTAGTTTAAACTGTAGAAATCTAGTTATATGCGCTTTATCTATCTTACAATATATAATCTTTTCCGCATAAAAAAGTATTAATTAATAGTTGCACAGTAGTCATCTTTGAAACACTATTAATAAATCTTTACAAACAGTTTGCCAGACGAGTATCGCACAAATAAAATCCATCTTAATAAATACAAGTTACTGTTTCATAGAGCATGTCAAGATATGATTTAAAGAACTCTACACGATATAACAATTAGTTGCAAATTTTCTAACAACAGACATATGATAAAAAAACTCATTATTTTTGGTAACTTATTGTAATAAAAATCGTTATTATTCAACAAGCTTACCGGTAAACTTTGGGACTTATAACGCTAAAAATCGGTGTTCGATGCTTGGATTGGGCAAAGTACAGTCAGCCAATTATCAAGCTTTGTGCTTAACTTTTAGTAACGTTCTGGATCAGTGTTTTGTATCGTTATAGCATAGCTTATTTATTTATAAAACTTTTTATGCACATGGTTCATATATATGATAGCTTTTGAGATACATGTGTGGCTTTCCAAGGATTCAACAATGGACACAAGCGATCAAAAGTAATTTTTTATTTAGCATTATTCTATTGGTGCACATATATATGGTTTCTCGATTGTAGATGAGGATTGCATCTGCTCTGGTGAAAAAGGTCTTTGTATGAGAAATAATATAATTTACCTGATGATTATTTGGTTAAGGACTGATCAACTTCACATGGAATTTGTATCTCGACTTTAAATGAGTTTTTCGTCCTTTCTGGTGAGAACCATCTAACTGTGGACGAGTATAATATACCTGATGAGTGTTTGATTTAAGATGGATCAACTGGTTCACGTGGAATTAGTACTGTAGATGAAGATTTCATCCGCTCTGGTGAAAAAATACCCTGTCTGGGCATGAATGCAATTTAATCTGATTAATGTTTGGTTAAAGACGGATCCATTGTTCACCTTAAAATAGTTTTACAATTGGACAAGTGGTCAAGACTGGTTTATTCATGACTCTAAGTCTGTTTGAGAGGCTAAAGTATGTGATGATTTCTTTGTTGTGGATGGAAAATTTGATTCACAGGAAGAGAGGTGTTTTATTCCACCAGAGATACGTAGTTGGCAAAGTAATAGTTTTTTAACCACGAGAAAATTACAAAGTCGCTATTTAGTTAAAGAAGGATCTTGGTTAGATGGTCCTTTTTGAATTCGAAGGATCTAATTGGAACGGCGATCGTTCTTGACATATGGATGAAGTTTCTGCTGTGTCTATGTACGAGAGTGGAATATTCGGTTCATATGGAGATAATTCGCCGATAGAGCTAGACATTGGAGACACGTCTATGTCAACTGTTGTCTCAATTCCCGTCTGGGATGACTTTGTGTTCGGATCTATATCACAGTTTTTAGCATTCGATTCAGCCACATCAGCTTTCTCATCGGCATTAGGGAAAAATGTAGCAGAAAGAGTCGGATTACTCGAAACATTTTCGATTAGACACTGAGATTTCTCACCTGAAAAATTCTTTCTTGATACGAGAGAAAGTTTGGATCGGGACTTTTTCTCTTCTGCAAATTTGTGACTCTCCGGTGTCTCGGAGCCTGACCAAGCTCTCGAGCGCTTTCGTGGTGATTTCAAGATAAAGGATGGAGAAAATTCTTTCTTCGGTGTCTGGACAATATTCTCGGAGCTATCCTGTCCGGACAGGAAGTTTAAAAACCTGCGTCCAGGAAACTCGGAAGAGCATCGCACATTTCTTTGGGAAATTATGTCTGCTTCTGGAGTCAACAGGTCATTTCCAAGACTATTAGATGTACTCCTGTACATGTCTCCGGTGTTGTCTTCTTCCATAATGGTTTCCATTGGAACAAATTCTGCTTCATCAGGGTGAACACTGTTCATTAGAAGTAAATAATTAATTGAATAAATCATATACAAGTTTTTTTCCCTTTATATTATCACTAAAATAATGTTGAAACGCTGAAATCTTATTCAAAATACGTCTGGAATCTAATTTTATTTCAAGAAGACCTGAAGGTGTCAAGTGAACTTGTTGGAAAATTAGCAATTTTAAGTGTTGTTATAAAAATACGTTATTCATAGTCATTCTGTGAGGGCCCGGCATGGTCAGGTGGTTAGGCGCTCGACTCGCAATCTGGGGGGGTCGAATCTCCGTCACGCCAAACATGCTCGCCCTTTCAGCCGTGGGGCTTTTTAATGTGACGGTCAATCCCACTATTCGTTGTTAAAAGAGTATCCCAAGAGTTGGTGGTGGGTGGTGTTGACCAGCTGCCTTCCCTCTAGTCTTACACTGCTAAATTAGGGATGGCTAGCGCAGATAGCCCTCGTGTAGCTTTGCGCAAAATTCATAACAAACAAACAAAGCATTGTGTTTCATTTATTTATTTATTTTATGGGACAGCGGTAAGTCTTCGAATTTATAATGCTGAAATCAGTGGTTTCGTCCCCTTGGTGGATACAGCAGATAGCCCAATCTGGCTTTGCTCTACGAAAACACATTTACAACAAATTTGAAAACGTTTGTAGCGTATACAATGATTGTAAATTATACATTCGTTAGCAAAATCATTAAATGTTACACTTCAAGCAATTTTTTTTTCGTGTAATAAATATAACCAACCTGTACATTATTTACGTTGTACACTTTTACCTCATTCTCCAATATTTGCAATCTCATATTCATTCGCACCATTATCTAGTTTCAACATTAAAAAAAAGTCTTACTCAAAATTGGTAGCAGATCCAAGGTACGGCCGTTTTCTTAAAATAAAAGAAGACTTAGTGTGAGGCAGCTGAGGTTCCAATTCATCCCAGTACTGATCTTTCACCAGCTTAGGATGCCTTTGAAACATATCATCCACAATCAAGAGCGACATCTGGTCATAATAAAAGTTACCGTTGAAGACTTTACTCTAAAACATGAAATGATGTGTCAAATCTTCGACAAATGCAAGTATGCAAGTACAAAAGTTTTATTGTTTACACTTGGAAAAAGTCAAGTGTGAGAAGATGGAAATTATAAAACTATTTGAATTTTGTGATGAAGAAAATTATTGCTAGAGGTTTAAAGCCTAAACAAAGATTATCGTTTCTTTAACAAGGTTTTGCATAACATGCAGTGACGACATAGGGTAAAGGATTAATACCAATGTAGTACATATACGGAAGTTACATGGGGGAGATGACGGAAATATCATTACCTTGTTCAGTAACTGGGAATTATCCCCTTCACATTCAAAAATAATAGTGTTAAGTCATAAAGTTTGTTCCTGCAGAGAACACAGTAACCGTCTCCTACCCCCTACCCCCCCCCTACACACATTTTGAACACCAAACACCAAAGTTTCACCTCTATTTGCGTGTTCATGAAACCTTAGAATTCGTAATAAAAAAAAACATGGTTATATTACACAAGATTATATTCACCTTTATCACTTTACTTTCCGCTTTAGAAATCGGAAATAATTCCTTATATATCTCTGTTATTTTATCTTTAATAATGTTTTTGCTCTAACATTTATAAGATATTGATGACTTACTGTAGAATATTCTGTCTAGATAACGGTTCGGTTAGGTGATGTCCTTCCTTAAGATATTTATAGGTTTATCTTCAAGCAAATAAGTGTACATGGTAGCACTTGTTACTGGAGAGCAGTACAAACTTTTGGTTCGTTACCACAAAATTATCAAGAAAGCAGTGACAAACTTTTGTTGCTTTCTGCGGATTCGTTTTAAAAAGCAGACAAACTTCTGTTTGCTTACTACGAAGTTATTTAGAAGGTGCCTACTTCTGGTTACTTGTCACGAAATTGTCCAGAAGGCAGTAGAAACTCCTGTTTACTCATCGTGAAGTTGTCCAGAATATTGTACAAACTCCTGTTTACTTACCGTGGAGTTGTCCAGAATATTGTACAAACTCCTGTTTACTTACAGTGAAGTTGTCCAGAATATTGTACAAACTCCTGTTTACTTACCGTGGAGTTGTCCAGAATATTGTACAAACTCCTGTTTACTTACCGTGGAGTTGTCCAGAATATTGTGCAAACTCCTGTTTACTTACAGTGAAGTTGTCCAGAATATTGTACAAACTCCTGTTTACTTACAGTGAAGTTGTCCAGAATATTGTACAAACTCCTGTTTACTTATCGTGAAGTTGTCCAGAATGTTATATAAGCTCCTGTTTACTCACCGTGAAGTAGTTGATAAACTAGTACCAATTTATGGTTACTTACCGTGAAGTTGTCTAGACAGCAGTACAAACTTACGGTTACTTACAGCAAAGTTCCTGTCTAAGCACCAATTCAGCTCAAAATCGTCGTCATCATCACCGAAAGGGTTGATCAACGACTCTGCTACCTAGTGTATAAAAACTTTTTAATAGCTATACGATCGTATCACTGTTAACTTTAAATTTCGTTTAGTTGGTACAAATCAAAATTTAAAGAAATGTGTTGTTTGAAAACGTTAAATGTACAAGTCTGGGAGTACTCCAACACAAAGTTAACTAACAGAATTAGTGGGGGGGGGGAAATATTTAACGAAAATATAACTTTGTTTTACTGAACAAACCTTCATCCATCCCATGTAAAAAAAGAACTGGAGTATCGTGAAGAAAGGAAAATACAAGTCTATCTTCTGCCCAGGATAACCTTTCGTGGGGTCTAGATACTGTCTACCCATCACGCAAGCTAGGAAATACGTGTAGATAGCTAATGTCACCACCTATCGGTTAAAAGAAAAATCAAAACATGTAATAGTAGAAGTAAAGCGAATTTAATCTCTGCAGCCTAACGTAGATGATTTTTTCGGATTTAACTAAACATAACCAAAACACTGAAAATAAATCATAAGTAATAAACTGATAGCTAAATTAATTTCTATAACACGTAGCACCGATTTATTAATATGCAGACTCTCATTGGAATACTGCGTTCTTCGTTGTTCGTATTTAAAATCTTATCGTATTTTGATTGGACGAATTCTTTAGTAAAGGCCAATGACAAACGCAGTCCACTATAAATAAAACCACGGCTCAATCAAAATTACTGTGAGTTTACTGCCTACATTAAAAACGCTGATCGTCGTTTTTGTTGTTGTTGTTTACTTATTCGTTGTTTTTTAATGAAAAATAAACGTTAATTATTTAGTTATTCATACAAAAAAAACGTATTTGCGTTTTATTTTATATTTTGGATGTCATAGTAAATATTCCTGAAACAATCACATGATTTCGCTTCAAATAAATAGTAAATAATGATTATTTCTCAGTAAATGTAATATAACTCAATTGATTAGTGTAATTTCCATAAGTATGAATATGTTATACATAATCTTCGATTTGATTCGTTATACAATTGTATATATTTTAAGTTTATTTTTAACGACTAGATACTTCACATTAGAATGTCGTAAGATCGTAATGATAAAGAAAATTTTGTCTAAGATCAAAGAACAGATGGCGCCACAAACTAATACTTTGCAAGGGTTCAAACTTTGGTTTAGGGTCTGAACTTTAGAGAGTACATTTTTTTGGTACTTGTTTCCTCTGGTTTGGTACTTGTTTTTCGCCCAAAATCCAAATACTTGATTGTCATTTTTATAATTTGACATAATCTTTACCTGCTTTAAAATAATGATTTACAGCTTTCTTTCTAGAGAGGGAAGTGGCATTTGTAATCATTGTCATTAATAAATTTATATCAGCAGCTTAAAAGATCAGAAAATATACACTTCTGTTTGTAATATACAGCATGTCGTGGTCCGTATAAAATAAAAGAAACTACATGACATTGGCAATTATAACACATTGGTTTATTTTTCACATCTTATTACTTTCTATTTGATGTGATAGAAAAAAATCGACGTAATGTTACAGCAGCGTTTTTCATGCTATATTATAACAGGCTCGGCCTGGCCAGGTGGTTAAGGCGCTTGACTCGCAACCTGAGGGTCGCAGGTACCAAATACCCGTCCCAACCGAAGGAGCGTTATAATGTGACGGTCAATTCCACTATTCGTTGGTCAAAAAGTAGCTCAAAAGTTGGCGGTGGGTGGTGATAACTAGCTGCCTTCCCTCTAGTCTTTCATTGCTAAATTAGGGACAGCTAACGCAGATAGCCCTCGTGTAGCTTTGCGTGAAATTCAAAACCGAACCAATACATTATAATGTCAGTGAAAAACAAAAAATACCTTTACATAGAAACTCCGGCCTTTATCCTAGCTTAAAATATTGATTCTTCAAACATGAAAGCCAACCATGATCTTTGTGAAACTACTAACCTGAGTATACACTAAAGGAACGCTAATCCAGTCATAACTGTAAAGCATTCCGCAGTTTCCACGATATTCGTGTAGCTCCTAAAAACACATAAACGGGGAGTGGAGTGCTTTAACAAGATTAAACTCTGAAACGAAGACAAGTTAAGTTGTTTCTATTAGTTCAACACAAACATTTTAGATATTTAAAAAAAACTATTTTTAAAAATCACAAAAAATATTGAAATTTTGAAGTAAACTGAATAACTGATAAACAATTTTCATTTTCTGTTGTTCTAACTTTAAAGAAATATACGAAGTATCGAGTTGGGATTGGAAAATTTATAATTTTTTTTGCAGAAACGTAATAAAACTTTAGAATTGAGAATATTAAGATAAACTTCTATTTAAAATCGTGAAATTGTGAATATTACCACACGTAAATGTCGTAAACTAGCTCCCAAGAAAAATACATTAGATTGTCTCAAACTTGCCATGTACAATTTACTGGTACAAATTTATTCGATTATTTTGTACAAACTAATGCTTATCCGTGGTTCGTTTCAAAAGTTTTTATTTAAAAAGTTTCCAAATTTTCGAGACTCCTTCAACTTGTAACATCAACAGTTTATAGTCTATGCAACTACGTACATCAATATTTTAAACGCTAACAATGTTTTAAATGCTAACAATACAGCTAAGTTCATAATATTCAGTTTTGATATAAATGCCAACAATGAAGCTACATACATCAATATTCAGTTTTAATCTAAATGCTAAGAATGCAGCCACGTACATCGATATTAATCTAAATGCTAACAATGATCTAAATTCTAACAATGCAGCTACGTTCATAATATTCAGTTTTGATCTTAATGCTGACAACATTTCAAAGATATTCAAAATAAACCGTTTATCAAAATACGTTTAATATATCAACTAAAACGTGTCTCAGAGACCAATAAGAGGGTTGGATAAGTTATTAAAGATACGATTCACTAACTAGAAATTTTTTTAGTCTCAATAATATCCTGAATTTGATTTGAAAATAGTCTCATGTGGAAAAAACATCCTCCATGCATGCGTCAATTTATTTATATGTGCAAGCTTTTTAATCCTTTACACAGGCCCAACTCTTTAAAAAGCTTAACCATACATCCAGTAAGGCTTTCAAGATGATGTCATCTTTAATTCTTCCTTCTTTCCTTGCCCTAACTGCCAGAGCTGTGAACCACTGGGCAGGGACCCACCATTTGCCATGGGCCATAGGAATTTCATCATAAACTCTCCTCTCCTCCTTGGTCATGATCCCTGCGTATAAAACATTGACATAAATTGTTATTATCTAACGTATTTAGCAATAGTTCTTTTTAATAAGCTGGCTTTCAAATACACAGGAAATATACGTTCAAAATATTTGATAAAATGAAATAAAAAGTAACTGGTCGAGTTAGATTAAATATCAGTGGTTCAAATAAAAAACTCTTCGTAAATACAGATAAGTCTCAATGTACAAGCGAGACAAATGGGCGCCCCCTTAGTGATAAATTCTTTGTACTTGAACCCTCAGGTAGTGGATCAATAAACCGATACGAAAATGTTTTGTAAACCTCATAGATATTTATATATGCATCAAAAAAACCTTTCAGAATATTGTTGGCCCTGTGGCAGAGCTCTAGATTTCGAAGCTGGCAGACCGTGTTCGATTGCATGCGAGACTATAAAATACTACCCATATTTTAGGCTATTGGTGTGTTATAAAAGTGAAAGTCATTCCCTTAGTGTCGATGTTGGCTGGTTGGGTGCTGATGACTGGTTGCTTTCTCTCTGGTCAGTTATTCAATATTAAGGATGGCGTCAGAAAGTCGTAGTAGCTTTGCCATAGATGCAAAATACAAATCTTTCAGTAGCTAGGTATATTTGTTCACTAATTTCTGTGTCCGGTTCTAGATTTATTGTATTTAAATGTTAGCTCTTTAATCCTGTTTTAATCGTCCCCAGTGTAAAGAACTAAATATTATAAGATGGGTAAGTTGCATACAACAGCATTTTTACGTTTTTTTATTGAATTTGTTCAATACATTTAACGTAATATAAGTACTAATAATATGTTGACAAACAACAATGTATAACCATAATGAAGTGATTTACTTTGGGGGGAACAGACTACATACTTTGACAGAACATCTACGTATTCCCTCCGAGTAGTCGTAGGTATCTTCTGCTGCTTATATCGGAAAGCCTGCAAAAATGGATGGATAATTGTTTAAATTAATTTCCTCATGGGGGGGGGGGCATCCGAGAAAATACATGACAGATACCACGTGAGCACAACAGTCCGCAACCTTTATCCTGAATTAACAGTATCATTTTTAAAATGGGTGAATTAGAAATGGCAGAATATCCATAGGGAACACCCTGGCTATAATGAATACTCTTTCCTGAATACATGTCTTGTCTGTATGTTTGCATATAACAGGATATCATTTTCCTTGTTAATCCACATATCATACAATCCATCTTCAGAAAGATGTTTATGAACATGATATTTTGCTTATCTAAGCTCGTAAACAGCAAATGTAAGAGTTCAAAGGTCATATTCAGACAGTTTTGGAAAGCCTAAATGTGCATCATAAGCTTCTATTTTTTTCAACAATGACCTCATGCAAGTAAGTCCTCGGAACTCTACAATACGCTGCAGTTTGTTAGGAAGTTTCGTCATTTAAAGTATGTATTTTTATACAGTAGAGTCATCATCTGCATTTTACACAAAATCAGGACAACGATAATTTGAAGGGGCACTAATGATTTGGACGTAATCACAATTGGAAGTTTCGTCATTTAAAGCATGTATTTTTCTACAGTAGAGTCGTCATTTGCATTTTATACAAAATCAGGACAACGATTATTTGAAGGGGCACTAACGATTTGGACGTAATCACAATTGGAAGTTTCGTCATTTAAAGCATGTATTTTTCTACAGTAGAGTCATCATCTGCATTTTACACAAAATCAGGACAACGATAATTTGAAGGGGCACTAACGGTTTGGACGTAATCACAATTGGCAGTTTCGTCATTTAAAGCAAGTATTTTTTTACAGTAGAGTCATCATCTGTATTTTACACAACATCAGGACAACGATAATTTGAAGGGGCACTAATGATTTGGACGTAATCACAATTGGAAGTTTCATCATTTAAAGTATGCATTTTTCCACAGTAGAGTCATCATCTGTATTTTACACAAAATCAGGACAACGATAATTTGAAGGGGCACTAACGATTTGGACGTAATCACAATTTAAAGAAACCTATTTGTTAGTGAAAATTATATCTAGTAACCAATATTATTTTTAATAGCCATTGACCACCCAGCGCATTATCGTAACCATTCTTTATATGTTGGATTATTCTGATATATGTTGCTCACGTCGTTGAAGGAGAAAACATGGAATCTGTATTTTAAATCCAAGCCATGCACATGTTCGAGCACATCCTTGAAACAAAGGTGTACAGTAGCAATATCAAGTAGTTGCATTCAACTCTGGATATCTACAACATCCTTTTCAAAGAGATGATAAATTATTGAAGCATGGTACACAACATCAGAATCATGTAGTTGCATTCAATTTTGGTGGTCTACTACATTATTTTCAAATATATGACGAATTACTGATGCATCATTAATTCTTTCATCACCAAGATATGGTTTCATAACGGACAATATATGTATCCACTTGTGGAAATGATAATCATCGGCTTTACAAAGGGTCGTTATTTACGTTTGCTTTAACTCCTTTAATTAAAATGCATGTTAACAGATTTTTTTGTATGTACACAGCGTGGTCACAAGTAAGTAGACACCACCTTTTCATAAAAAATGAAATTTTTCAGTCATATTCACATGAATTGATATATATATAATTCAATTAATATCTAGTAGATCTTCCTTTCGCTTCGTGGAGTTCGTTAATCCTTTGAGGCATCGTGAGA